TGCCTGCCGGGTTAAACCACAACACACAGTAATTTAACTCAGTGACTAAACAGTAGTGTATTTCAGCCAGCTGGTACACAGTTTTTTTTGGCTGTTCAGTATGTTTGTGACTTTACATTGACCATAGTCAAGAGTTTAGATTAATTTTGTATGGTGGTACTAAAATAAGTTGACTCTCTGGAGGGGTCCTATTGTGTCTTTTGTGGTGTTTTTTTCTTAAACTGTGTTAAGTAAATGATTGAAAAAAAAGTGCTTAAGATCTACATGCATAACTAATTCTGGAACATTCCTGGTTATTGCAGTTGAACAATGTTTGATATATCTAAATAAATGTCATAAGAGCTCAGGGGAAAGTTTATTTGTCTAGTAATCTCCATTTTCTTTCTGTTTATATTGTGTTGTATCTTGTTTTGTTATTAAAACTCAATGTCAGAAACTGTTCTGTCTTGACCCTTTGAAGTAGAAATGTTTTGGTGATGCTAGTTTTCTTTTGCTATGAAATTGATTGCAGTTTAATGGTGAATGAGGAATAAGGTGTTTTGTGTTTGGTTGGTTGGATTTTTTGTGGTGTGGGGGTTGTGTAGTTTTGGTTGGTTTTGTTTCATTTTTAGTAAGTGGTGGTGGTGGTGGGGAACCCAGCAAACATTTCCATTCTGGAAAAAGCTCCGTGAGATGTAGGCCAAAAAAATAACATTTTACTGTTTTGCAAATTATTCTCCCTCAACAAGTTCATAACTTCAGTTTGTTTTTTCCAGGTAATCTGGGGCTGGTTTTGGTATAACTTCAGCAGCAGGAAGAATGGTTTTTAGAACTTGATTTGTACTTGGCTCATATGATGATGGTATTTCTTTTTGGTAGAATGGGATGTGTGATGTCTTAATATGTGAGAAGTAGCCTAAGGTTTGGTTTTTTTTTTTCCCCTCAAATATTAAGATTGATTTCTAGACGTTGTCTGTGTGAGGAGGCTGGACGATTTGGGAAACAGTATGAAATGATACGATACAAACTTGACGTACCATCTGGTCTTAAAATTGGTCTTAAACTTCTAATAAGGCATGATAACCTGTGAGGAAGGTGAAGGAATTTCCCATACAACTAGTATCTCTTCGTAGCTTGGAGGCCAAATGGATTAGTTTTTAGGCTAAAAGTTCTTAATTGATCTCTGCTATAGGAAGAAAACATGAGCCTTTTGTGCTAGATTACTAGTTTGATTCTCAAAGTAGAATTTTTTAAGCATGCTGTAATGTCAGAGGCTCTCCTTTAGTAAACTATTGTAGCTTCTTTAACATATTGTGATCTTTAAGTCTGCATTTAAACTCTGAGCATTTTATCTTTTTGTTCTGGATAACAGTGATGGTTTTAATAGAGGGGAGAACAGTTACTAGTTTTAAAATGTTTTTCTCTTAAACTTAGAAATACCCACGATGCATCAGGATTTATCAGGCTTCTTGTTACCTTTCCCTTCTCCTGTTTTCCTCCCCTCCTCAAAGTGAGAAATGTGGGAAGGGTGTAACAGGTTAGCCTATCAAAGCTTGCTTCTGGGACATCAACGTGGACCTCTGTTTAATGCAAGAGTTCAGAATAGCTGTTCGCACCACTGACTAACTGTAGAGATAAGAATGGTTATCTTTCTTTATCAGTGAATATTTCTCTGTAGAAAATAGCCATTTCAGCAAAATGATCTAGACTTAGTCACACACATCTGGCTTGTGGGAATCTGGTGTTCAAGTCTAGGAGCCTCTCTTGGTGGAGAGTACTCAAACCAAAAGCAAAACATATTTGGGGTAGGCCATAAACGTCAAGAAAACTTTTTTAACAGTGTGTAATTCACTCCAGTGTGTTTGGCTGAAGAATTGTTAGTAAATCTTGAATCTCTTCGTTTTCTCTATCAAACATATGTAAGAAAAGCATTGTGTTCTCTAAGGCTGTGGGATTTCTCTTGTTCCATGCAAGCATTCTTTCTAAGGTGTTTTTTTTAAGAAGGTTTGGCTGAAGGGCAAATAGATGACTCATTCAGTACCTAGATGTTGATTAGAATGGAAGGGGTTTGTTTATTGTTGCCCTGAGCTCTTCAGGATTCTCCTTGGGGAAACTTGAAGGTTGAAAAAGCTAGAAAGCTTACTGAAACTTAGCAACATTTTTCTAAATTCTTGAATAATTTAACTTAAATCAAATTATCACTGGTGTGATATTCTGGCTCACTATAGTCTGTTATACACACAGGGATGCTCACATTTGCACGGTGTGGACAGGAGCCTAGTGCAGACAGAGCCTGCATTAAGTAGGATTGTGTATTTGTTTGACTGCTAGAGGCTTTGTTTCTTTTTGTTGCTCAGTATATCCTGTGTTGCTTGTAAATAAATACTGCATTGCTTTTTGACCACAAACTATTACGTTTATGAATTTCACTTCTCTTGAAGATGATCTAATCTTAAATGGTCTTTATTACCTGCTTCTGCTGTTCCAGTGGGGCTTGGTGCAGAGGTGAAAACGTCTCACCCCTCTCTAAGTATCTTGCAGAATTTTGAGTGAAGAGGGTTTGTGAAAGGGAAGGAGAATGCAAGGGGAGAAGCGATGCTAGTTGTCTGTGGGTTAAGCCTGGATTTGTAGCCTGTGTTTCACTTAAGACACTCTAGTGTGCTGTTGAAGCTAGCCTAGGGTCTTCAGAAATGCCTAGCAAAGAGGAATCTAGTTATTTTTTTCATTAAGTTTGTGTTTGGATATGTGTGGGCCTCAGAAAATTGGAGAGGAACTTAAGATTTTTAGAATAGTAGCTGGCTGGAGGAACATAAACTGCTCTGATGGGATTGATTAGAAGAATGCTGTAAGGGAAGTTGTTTACCCTGACACAGTTGTTCCAGGTGCAATAATATTGTTGCTTTTACAGCTTGAGGAAAAATACTACTGCTCTTTGAAATAAGCTTCTGGGAACGTCTTCGTTTTTCCAAGTTAAAAGCATAGCAATGCTATGAAAATTCAATAGTAAAACCTGTTGCAAAGTAAACCATAGTGGTAAGTTAATAAATGGAAGTAAACAGTGAAATATTACAGATTTAGGAGGAGGAAGGTAGAGGGAGAAAATATCTTTCAGTGTTCACTGTGAACTTGGCTAGAAACAATGGAATTAAAGTGTGCATATTTTCATTTCTATATTATTTTCAGTAACTATGAAGCGTTCAGAATTCCTACTATGTTACGAGGCAGTCATATGAACAAGTATTTGAGGTAAAATAAGTCAAAGAAGGATCAAAGAAGTAATTTATTTGAACTGAGTTTTAAGACCTGTATCCGAATACTGTATGGACTTCCCATTCATCCTCTGTTTGTGTGGTTTTTCCTTTTTTATTTTTCCTTGCTCTGTATTGAGACTATTTTTGTATTCAGAACAGACTGCAAAAGCAGATTATTTCTTGTTTGTTTTTTCTTTTAGAATCTTAAAAGTTTTGACCCAGGTGAAAAACACTTTAGTAACACTTCATGGAGTGATGTCTCTCCTTGGGAATCTGTGGGCAAAAGGAAGGTATGTATATTTGTGTTAGAAATTTTGGGTAGACGTTCATGTGGAGTTACTGAATTTTATCACTTTTCTCACGGTCCTGGAAAAGTTAAAATAACATGGTTTTTATGGTTAAAAAAAAAAAAGCTTTAACATCTCTTTTCCTATGTACTGTTAGTCAGGGAGTAATCTTTCATTTCCTCTGTGTTCTTCCCTGTAACACAGCTGGTTATAAGGACTATATATGCTGTTTGCTGTCTTTAAGGGTACAACCTTGAACATCAGTATTTAAGATGTCACACTAATGTTCTGCCATTTTAGCCTAATCTGATGTGTAGTCTTAACATGCTTTTACATACAACATGTTTCTTGTTTCATTGAAAGGGTGAAAATGTGATTGCACAGATGTGAATGGATTAAGCTGAAATTATCATTAGCGGTTTGGGATAGGGTTGCAGTGGAAAACATCTTCCAGTTAGATTTATGTGTGAAACAGCTTTTAGTTCTGTATAGCTGAATCTTGTGTGAAGCTAGAATCTACAAGAAAGGCAGGGTTGAGATGAACAAACCAAAGGATTTCCGTAATTTTATTTTCTAGCAAGTTTCTAAGATACTATGTAGAGCATAGGAGTGTATCCAGAAGAAAAGGTAGTCTTTTCCAGTCTTGCTGAAGAGTCTTAGGGCTCCTGATTACTTGCATGAGGAAGGGCTGTCAATAGCATGTAAACAGCAGTGGGTCTGCTCTTTTCATCCTGAATCAAAAGGTAATGGTTTAGAATAGTGTGGTGGTGGTTTGCCAGGATTTTTTTATCTGCCTTTACCATCTTTAAAACAAGCTGAGGCTGCCACGTGCAATAGTTGCATGAAGAAAGCCCTCAACATTCAGGCTGACCAAACAAAGCCACTCGGTCTTTGCCAAACTGTCATTTAGTAGAAGGTGATGCCTTCCGCCCTTCAGGACCTTTGTCTGCTTTGTCTCCTAGTTCTCCTTTCCTGAACTTGGGTTTACACATTTAAGACTGGAGGTTCATCTGTTCACATGAATTTGTGGATGCAAGAGTCAAATGTGACTTGTTGTTGATTAGGTCTGTAGAGACAGATTGCGTCTAGCCTCTTAGCGCCACTTCAGATAAGGCTTACAGTTACCTTCAGTCAAGACTACCTTTAGTTTAGGTGAATGGAATAAATCCAGTTAATGGTATGATGGTCTCTCTTTTTTTTTTTTTCCTCCTTTTTTCTTTCTTTATCTACATGGAAAACTTCTCCTTTTATCAGGTCTGCTAGCTTCAGTCAGCATGTTATCTGAGCTCTAGCCTTGCTGATGTTGTCTTTTTTGCCTTTTCTTCCACCTTCTGACTAAAGAAAGAAATTCAGTGTTGGGAGATCTTTTGTGTTAGATGTGCAGGGGAGGTTCCCCCTCCTCCCCAGGCATGAAACAGGAAAGAGGATGAAGACAGAGCAAGTGAAGCTTCCTGTCTAAAACTTAAGATGAAGGGTTTTTTTTTTTTCTGTCTTCTTTCCACAGTCCTTTAGGAAAAATGATCAGCCATTTTGGTGAAAATGGAAAAGAACTAAAAACCATGCACTAGAGAGGGAATTTCTTTCATCCCTATTATCTGGAGAGAGACCAGGCAGAGAGACCTGATCCCTTACCAGAAGGGAGAAATACAGATCCTGACTCTGCTAGTCAGCGTGACCAGTAGTATCTATATCTGTCCAAAAAACAAGATTGGAATCTGATCTGATGAACTTCAGTGTAGAGTTTGTAATGTGTTGCTGTGGAACAGATTTGCCAAGCTATGTCTTTTGGATACTAAACTTCTTCTTATCCATTTTCCTTAAACAACTGTGGTTCCTTGATATATATCATTCACATATCTTGGTATTATGCTGCCTAGATTTGGGAGAAAAGAAGTTGGTCCTTCAGGATGTTCTATTCCAAAGTTTCTGCCATAAGATGAAAAGAAGTTGTTTGAGGTACATTGGAATCTCAGTAGGCTGGAGAAGATGTCTATTTAGATGAGTTGGTGGTTTCTACCATTAGTACTATTTTTAGGGACACATTAATAATTGTGGAAGAACTTCGGTTTTTGGAGGCTATCGTGTCTTTCTGCTTGTCTCTAGGTTGTGGGGAATGTGAGACTACACAACAGAAAGTGTTACTGTGTTCTGGGGTATATTCTTTGGAGTGGGACTAATCGAGTTTTCCTAAATGCCTCTAATAAGCCTTTTTGGATTCCATTTGTACAGTTTAGGGATGTATTGGTCAATCTCCAAGACGCTTCAATTTTCCTAAGTGGCTTAGAATTCTTATTATGTCAAATTTTCTGTAAAACTGAGATGCCATTAGTAGACTGCAGCAGCACTTGCAAACATAAAAAGCAGCTTAGATGCGTATGCAAGGAGAACGTGCTGACAAAATGATTTTCTAAGGTATCTGTGTGGAAGAGCTCTATTTCATACAGAAAACATCAAAGTAGCAGGCTTCCACATACTTCTGTTCTGCTGAAACAGAATTTTTTGGGTTTTGTTGTCGTTGGGGTTTTTTTGAGCTAAGTAGTGGGACTTTAGGATTTGTCCTGATTTGATAGAACTCGAAGTACAGAACTTTTTTTTTCTTTTGCTGAAGTCTCATAATTTTTACCTCCATTAAAAAATAAATGATCTAAGAAGGCATGGAACATTATTTCCCCTAGACTTACCAGTATGCAGGTATTGGGGTGGTTTCCTAGGGGTATACTGCAATGCTTGTTTGTATAAGAAGTAAAAACATCATTACTACGGAATAGTAAATTAATTCAGCACTTGGACCACTTACTTGTGGAGTGTTCTCACTGCACCTAACAACAATTGTTCAGACTTGGCAGCAAGGAAATATTGACAGTGTATTACACTATGGTATAAGTTTACGGGGACAGAAAGACCCAAACTGGAAATGGGGTAGGGGGGAAGTAGAGTGTATGGACCCAGTATTTAAAAGCATATAAGCTTTTCTAAGCCTCAGACAACCAATTAAAATAAGCAGTCACCTCTCTTTGTCATCTGACTTCTTCAGAAGTAAGGCTAGTGAGGTGCAGCTTTTAATAATGCTCTGTATGCTTCATTAGTTCAGTAGTGTCAGTGGCCTTTCTCTACTCAGTATACTTTAAAAGTAAGATTGAAGCTTCTTCTAATTTGCTGTGGTGCTGTTTACTAGCAGCTGGGACCAGACACCTAAAGAGTATAAGTAGAGGATAATTCACTGATACCTTCACAGTGCACTTTTCAGCAGCTTTAGCCAGCCAGTGGCTTTATCTGACCCAGTCTTTTGAATTTGGAGGTTAATTTTGGTTATCATCAGGAGACTCTTCTAGTACTGCTAATAGATGACACCTTCACGGCTGTATGAAATGACAAAAAAAAAAACCTGCACAAATTTTTGCTACAGTTCTTTATAATGTGTCTGTGACATGTTTGTGAGTGATCTAGCTAGGCTGGATGCTGTAGTGGTGGAACAGCTTATTCCCTTTGGATGGTGTTTCGTAAGGTGCAGAAGTCAGTAAGGTGAAAAACATATCTGAGGGAACAGACAAGTTCCACTAGATGTTTGAGAGTGCAGATTTGTCACCTGGATGTTGCTGTGACTGATTCTGTAGTTTTTGGCAGGAGCCAGGGTTAACTTCCTAGGAAGCTGATGAGAAAAAATGGTTGACAGGGCTACCAGTTTTTTGGAAGGAGCAAATAACGTTCATATGGATGTGAAAAGTAATGCTGTCAAGTGACATGTAATTGAGGGAGCAAACCACCATTTAGTGGAAGATAGTTAGGTTTGTTTTTATACAGTTAAAATATTTTTCTGAGGAGAATCTATATGCTCTTTAATGAGTGTGCTAGAGGAAATTTCTTAAAGAAATTACTGTGATGGGATGTCCAGTATGTTGAGATAATACAAAGAGGTCATTGCTGCTTTATCATAAAAGGGAGTTTTATTCCTTTCTCTTTCTATTATTAATCTGGCTCCAAAAGAATATTCTTAAAAAAAAGTATGTCTTTTGTGGCTTTGCTGGGAGAGGTGCTTTTGGAGAGCTTTCAGTGAAGGGTAGGGTATTGAAATACACAGAATCCCCCCACCCCTTCTCTCTTCTCTCTTTTTCTCCAGTAGATAGGAGGTGGCCCCGAACTAAATAAAGCTTTAAAAGTGTCATATTAAAAGGGCTGCTATTCCTAATTGCTAAGGCTTCACCTCCTATGTATAGTGGCATACAAATTCTTCTTAGCCTTGTTCTGTGATTCCAATCTTTAAAAATGGGCTTCAGAATTACTTCTTGCAAACTGGAGTAGAAATGAACTTACTTAAGGCTTCTTAATAAATTATAAAGAAGCAAAAAGGGCACAAACATTTCTCCCTTTAAGTATGTAATCTTTAAATCTGCTTTTCAAAAACAGATCTCCATGAAACTGAGAAGATACATGCTATACATCCAATGAAGGCATTTTTGACAGGTGGTAGTGCAGACTTACTTTCAAACAGATAACAGGGATTTAGGAACTGGCAGTTTCTAAGTGGATGTTTTTGTTTTGTTTGCAGAGATACAGAACAAAGCCGTACTGCTGTAGCTTATGCAAGTTCTCGTCAAAATTGCTTACTTCATTCAAGAATCACTTGCACCGTTACCATGAGGATGAAATGGACCAAGAGCTGGTGGTTCCTTGCCCAAAATGTGCATTTGCTTCTGATCCCAAAATAGTGGGAAAACATATCCGGATGTTTCATTCATCTAATAAAAGAATACAGAACTATACAGTCAGCATTTTGGATGGCATGAAACAATTCAGGAGTGACATCATAAACTTTACATGTCTAAAATGTCACTTTACAGACACATTGTATTACAATATGAAGAAACATGTGCTGATGAACCATTTTCAAAACTTAATAAGTACATATTTTGGCCAGAAACCTGATGAAAGTAAAGAGAATTCTGTTGAGCACTACTGTAAAAAATGTAATGCTTCTGCAAACAGCCAAGATTCTTTAATGTATCATGTCTTGACAGCTGAAACACATCGAGACCTGGAGAACAAACTTCGGTCTGTGATTTCAGAACATATTAAGAAACCAGGACTCGTGAAACAAATGCATATTGCTCCAAAGCCTCCCCAAGGTGTGGCAGTGGCTGCTCCATCTGCAGGGCCTGCCGCTGCCCCAGCAGGTTCTGTCGCAGCTCCGGCTTGCATCCAGCTTGCATTTCCACAGAATAATCAAAGCCAGAGTGTGGTACAGCCAAAAGCAGTTCAAAACACAGTCAGATCACTGACTGTTCCAAGTGCCTCTGGTAGCCTTCCACATACAACTTCTGCTCCGGTTGTTACCCCGTCGCATGTTACTCTTGTATCTAGTAACCTTCCCGTAGGTCAGAATAACGTTAATATTCAGCCATCGCCTTCCCAGCCTATCATTGTTTCCCATAGTCTCGCCCTTCATCAGCCTGTGAAGGCTGGAGCTATTCCTCTTAATCCTTCTGTTGGGACTGTAAATAGTACTGTGGCTCCCGCAGTTCTTCCTCTTAATCAACCTGTCAGGCCTGGGTTCTTCCCCATTAATCAACCCATTGGTACTATAAATGGTCCGGTTGCAGCTGGAACGCTACCTGTTATTCAGCCTGTCAGCCCTGTGAATCAACCGGTTGCACCAGGAGTTCTCTCTGTCAACCAATCGCTTGGAAATGTGAATAGACCCCTTGGTCCCAGGGTCCTTCCTGTGGCCCAGACAGTTGCGTCAGGGGTTCTCCAGCTTAACCAGCCTGTTGCCTCTGGGGTTGTTCCTGTCAGACGGCCTGTCAGACCTGGGTTTGTTCAGCTTAATCAACCTGTTGCCCCAGCAGTTATCCTAGTAAATCAGCCAGTTCAACCTGCGGTTTCTCAAAACACAACTTTTTTGACTGCAGGTTCTATACTTAGGCAGTTGATTCCAACTGGTAAGCAGGTTAATGGGATACCTACGTACACGCTTGCCCCAGTTCCAGTTACTTTGCCTGTACCTCCTGGTGGTGGAGTAGCAACTGTTACCCCACCCCAAGTGCCCATCCAACTAATGCAGTCTGGGACAGTAACTCAGTCGTCCCAGTCACCGGCTAGTGCACCCTCTCCTCCAGTGGTTTTAACGTCTCAGAATGTATCGTTACAAGCCTCCCCACCTGGTCCTGAAACAAGTCAGGCTATCAGACAGGCTAAGCAGTGGAAGACTTGCCCTGTTTGCAATGAGCTTTTCCCATCAAATGTCTACCAGGTGCACATGGAGGTGGCCCACAAACATGGTGAAGTAAAAATGGAGGAAACCCTGGAACCTGACAAACTTGCAGCTTGTGCACCCTTTCTGAGGTGGATGACAGAAAAGACAGTCCGGTGTTTCTCTTGTAAATGTTTTCTCTGTGAAGAAGAGCTCATGAAACACCTCTTGATGCATGGCTTAGCTTGCTTGTTTTGCACAGTTACTTTCCATGACTTAAAAAGCCTCGTGGAGCACAACAAAACTACACACAATGGGAAAAAGCAGTTACATGCAGATTATAGCAACAGAGGGTTTCAACTAGGTAATGATGCTCAGGGTGACCTTGTATTTCCACACTTTGATTTTAGTACAGCGTTACCAAAAGAAGACATTGGTGAAAGAGAAGTACATTTGGCAGTGCTTGCTGGACTAAATTCAAGGACACTTGTCCCTGTTTACATCAAAGTGAAACCTCAGACAGCAGAAGTGAACAATAAATGCAACAAGAAAGTGTTAACCTGTCCCTTTTGCTTTGGTACATTTGTTAGTAAAGAAACCTATGAAATGCATTTGAAAGAGCGGCATCATATAATGCCAACTGTACATACCATTTTAAAGTCTCCTGCTTTCAAGTGCATCCACTGTTGTGGTGTGTACACTGGAAATATGACTCTAACAGCTATTGCTGTACATTTGCTCCGTTGTAGAAGTGCTCCCAAAGACAGCAACTCAAGTGTGAAGATGCAGCTTGAGCGTACTGAGAAGAAAGAGCTACTGTTTGTGAACGGTGAAAGGCATGATTCTGTGATACTGAAAAGAAAGCAGTCGGAGTCCTGCTTTGTTGCAGAAGACCAAAGGAATAAGGAACAGCAGCCTCTGAGCTTAAGTACTGGCATAGCTCTATCTCCAGAAAAAGAAGTGAATTCAGGGGTAGTGCCTTTCAAACGACAAAAGATTAATACTAGGTCTGAGATGAAGAAGCTTCCTTCTAGTGAGGATCTTCGCATTCTAGCAGTAGATCCTAAACAGTATGATCACAATTCGTATGAGGCTCAAAAACAGTTTTTGACAGACTACTTTCACGAGAGGCCATATCCTTCTAAAAAAGAGATGGAATTACTTTCCTTGCTGCTATATGCGTGGAAAATTGATGTTGCATCATTCTTTGGAAAAAGGAGGAATATATGCTTAAAGGCGATAAATAATCACAAACCATCTGTGCTGCTGGGTTTCAGTATGTCTGAACTAAAAAATATTAAGCACAGTTTGAATATAAAAGATGAACCATTAGATATGTAAACAAGCTTTTTATAACAGCTAAAAGCAATCCATAATTGCATACTTACCGATTTAGCAGTTTATTGTATTATTTGTTTTAACTTGAAGACTGGCCTGTTGAAGGGTGCAGTAGTACAAAAAGTCTCGTTCAGTTGTGACTGTTATTGTGAAAGGCACACGTAGTTGTGTATTTGAAAAAGCTAAAACCTTCAGACTTACATATCTGGAATTTGTTTTAGCTTTTTACTTTTTCTGGAGTAGTGGTTTTTTTGGGGTGTTTTTTTTTTTTGTTCCGTTTCCCTTTCTTCCCCTCCAGGCTCCCATTACACTTTTTATACCACCATGTAAAACATTTGTCCTGTTAAAAACGAATTTAATTTTATTTTTCTGCAATGTCATCATCTTTTCTAAACAATAAAATATATAATGTTGGTTAAAATACTGAGGTAAACTACATGGAAAACATCTATTTGATTATTTGTGTTTCTAAGTCCTAATTTTTTTAACCTGTTTTTGTTTTATCTACTGAAGAAGCGATTGTAGCCTTTACATCCATTGCCCCTTCAAATTCCCAATGCACTGGTAGCAATAAAATACATGGCAATCTTTTTTTTCCCCAGTCAGAATACCTGTGCCAGTTAAGTCTGGTGACTTGTAGTATCTAACTAGTATTAACATGGTGGGGATTGAGGGGCTTCGGGGTGCCTATTGAAGTGTTATAATTAACTGACTTGAAATGGTTGTGTCATTATCTGTTAAATAGATCTTGCTAACCGGAAGTGTTTACTCTTTTTGTTGGTGTTGAAGCCTGGTTGTTTAAATACCTACTGTTCAAAGCTTGGTGGCAGCATTTGGTTTCTTTTCTTTTCAAAAAGCATAACTGCTTTGGAGAGTGTCAGATTGCTTTGGTATGTGGAGTATGAGACTTCTGTGCACATCACTTACCTGTAGAAGCCCTGTCCAAATATCACCAAGGTTCAGTGAAAAATCTGATTTTTATTTTAAATTGCTGTTGCATGAGGTAGTAACTGAGCAGTGCCTCCTCCCCAGCAAATTAGATACATGGCTTGAAGTCCTTTGAGTCAGCAATTGTACAAACTGAAACTGGATGAATTGGTAGCATCAAGACTTTAAATGTTGAGTACCTGAACCAATGATACTCATGTAGTGATTGTTTTTCATTGTTCTGTAGAGAGCATAGGAATAGTATCAAACCCAAATAGACTGTCTTGTTCAATATGAACTAGCATCCCTATTACAGATTACAGAAGAGCTGTTGGGAAGGTTCACTTGAGTTGAAGAACAAACTGTAGTACTGGTGGCCACATTGAGGCCTTGTTTAGTACTGTCCTTTCTTTCTGGATGTGCTTGGTTTCATCTGGCTTGTCACACAGTGCCTCCGATATTCATTAATAGCCAGTTATAAAATAAATAACCTATAATACGCATTATTTTTTCTTCCTCCTCTTCATCCCCCTCTCCCCACCTTTCTTTCCCAGAAGAAAAAAAAAAGAGCAGGTTCTTCTGTCAGTTCACTTGTGCCAGTGTTACAAGGAAAGGGTGATATGCCCAAGCTTATTTCTATTTTTTTTAAGTAGTAAGCATACTTTTGCCCTGTGCAATAGTTTTCAAAGCAGATACAGAATTGGTTTTTGTGCTGTTTCTGAAAGGGCATGACATTTTTAGCAGCATTTGGTGACTAGCCACCTGAGGTTCTATAAGCTGTTTGAAATTCTATTTTGGATACAATCTTGATATTTTCATATTAATAACTTCAGAGAATTTTAATGTATATGTAAAATACAGTTAACTTAAATGGAGAGAATATGCTATTTGGAAAAACCTAGTCATTTAATAGCAGTGTTGAAATATAAGCACCATTTATGGGATTGTCCGCACACCCCACTCCAAAGAGTGACAGTGAGTAAGCAGCAGTGTGTTCTTACAGCTCACTGAAAATAAAAAAATGGTATTTGTGCATAGCACAGTTCATTAACCAGTTTGAAAGACTCTGAGTGAGGATGAGGGATGCGCTGTCAAAGTTCTGAAATCTAGGCACTCATTTTCACGCTTAAAACCTTGATACTGTGAGCCCTGTAGTAGTTCTGGGTAGTTCTGGTATCGTGAAACTCCAGCAGGGAGGAATTTGTCAGCATGCATTGGGGGAAGGCTTGCCATGAATAGTTAAAGATTGTTCTTCAGGTAACAGCATTGTTTGGAGTGGGGAGCTGGGAAGTCATTTCAGGGTTCATCCATGCTTGGGGCACCAAGGGAGCAGTCCAGTCTTACCAGAGTTTTCCTACGTAGTGTCTGGTGGTGATGTTAAGCATTTTATTGTTGGACTTTGATTTCACAGTTTCAAATAAACCAGCTTTCTAACTTTCTCTTAGGTGTGTGTGCAAATGATTACCTATCCTCTCCCTCCCCTTCTCCCCCCTTTTTTAATAGATTTAGGGAACTTGATATAAAAGTTTCTTTTGGTGCAAAATAGCTGTTAAAAGACACAAAAGGAAAGTAAGACTTAGAACTTAGATCCAGATGCTTTAGGTAGACCTTAGTGCATTACAGTAATACCTTTTTATTATCTCAAATACTGACAGCTTGCATATATGATTGTAGCAAGTTCCTTATGGGAATAAAAAAAAATACCTGCATGTATTCTGCTTCTGAAATGGAGAAATCTCTGTGTTCAAGAAATACTTTGTTGTGGTGTCTTGAGTTTTTGAGCAGAAAAGTTGTGCTTGTGAAATAGTGTGATAACTTATTATTTGAATATGTAGGAGGAAGGATTATTACTATAACGTGACTTGGTCATGTTTGTTCTGTATACATTCATGTGCTGGGAGTTAAGTTAATATTGTTTGGTAAACTGATGTTTTGGAAGGGGACAAAAACCAAAACACCTTTGTGATTGGTTTTCAGTACTGTATTGTGTAGAATACTACAGTTCACCATCGCATCAAACTTTTTTTTCTCTTCACTGTTTTAAGTTGTTCAGGAAAGCTTAGGGGCTTACTTAAGTAGCTGTTAAATATAATTCTGAGTGTGCAATTCCCAACAAATATCTCTACAAAACTATAATTCTACTGCAGCTGGCTGTGCCATTTTCAGACATACATTTGTCAAACTTAACTGGGCACATTTTTCTAGGGAAGATACTTGATGCTAAGTAGCAAGGTACGGATACTCAGAGAAAAACGCTGCAGTCTAATAGCAAGGGAAAAAAAAGTCCAAAAAAACAACCTTCAGAAAATGTGTATAGCTTGTTTTAAAGCTCGGAAGAATTTTCACTCGTTCCTCTGCAAAATGTATGAGAAAAGGATGAATTGAGGGTATTCATGAATGAAGCTGGACTTTCGTGGTGCTGCATTTAAAGTCTGACCTAACACCTTGCTTTAGTGCCTACGTATCTCCTTTCTCATTTCATCTGTTCTGACTTGACAGGCAAGCTGCAGTTATGACCGTTTCTCTTTTTTCTTAGGTACCAGATCCCAAAATGTGTATGACATAGTTCTTTTTGCTTTGAATTTGTCCAAGTTTAACATACTCGGTTAGAGGGGGCATATGCAGTGTGTGCTTACAGTACTGCCCTGCGTGTTTGAGAAGAGTGTAGGTCTGCAGGTATCAGGAACACGAACATGGGCTGGGTGCCCATCTTCTAATTCCACATAAACTACTATTTATTAACACAGTGTTTTACCTAGTAGTATGTTGAAGAGCACCTTATAATAAAATCAGGGGAAATTAGAGGTCTCAAGTATCTTTGCAAGTATTGTTCTTATTTTATTTTGGCTGCTTGTCCGTTAAATGGGAGTAATAGCAGTTCTTGCCATCCTAGCATATAATGTAGGTGAGTATCTTAAACACTGAGACCGGTAGGTATTTTATGCATCAAGCTGCACCAAGTAAGCTAAGTATGGGACAGATGACAGTGCGTATGTATGAAAGCCATCGGGCACGGACATTTCTGGAGAAAGATCTGATTAATTGTGTTATCAGAGTCAGTGTCATTTTGGCTTACAATCTGTTTGGAAGTGAAAAAGATAGTAAATTTTGAATGGAGTAAAGCAGCATTGCTATCCATGTGCTGCATGGGTACGAGACATAGATTTGCTAAGGAAGACATCTGTGGCTTTAGGTAACTCAGCTGTACTCAGCATGGCGTAGTGCATAGATGTATAGTGAATGAAAGGGTACAGTGAGATTTGGCAGCCTTGATTGTGTCTTCAGCCAACATAGAGCAGTGCAGTTTGACTGGAGGAAGGCAGAGTTCTTTAGCGATATCCGTGTTCTTGATTTTCAACGCTTCGTCAACCGTTTTCCCTTTGACCCACTCCGTACAGTGAGATTTGGGGTGTGGCCGTCTTCCTGGTGTGATTGCTGTAGTCTTTGCTGCTCAGTGGTTCTCGACTGCCCTACATCTCATGGAGTTAGAGCAGCTGTTGTATGAATGACTGAAGAACAATGCACAGTTATGGGTGGATGGAAAAATGCCAAGACACCAACTCAGGCACAGACAAGTAGTATTAATAAATGAGTAGCAGAAGAGAGATTACAGAGAAGCACTGTAGATTTTTAGTTGTTCTTTGCAGGAAAACAGTGAAAGGGGTGAGAAGTTCCCCTGGCAATTTCCAGTCTCCACTGAGAGATGTGGAAGACTGTCTCTTGTCTCTTGTCTTGACTCTAACAAGACTGGGCTTGTTAGCTGTACTGACATGCACGTGGTATGCCAGCAGCATCATCTTTTAGGAAAGGTGATGCAGAAAGGATGCTATTGGAGCCTCTGTGAGATACTATTTTGGTACATAAGGACCTAGTTCTGGAACGTCCATTGTGAAATCATTTCTAGGTCGTGAAGGACAAGTGCCCTTAACTTTATTTATTAAGTCACCTTGCATAGCAAATACACGCAATGTCATCCATCTGCAACAGGACTGGCATCACACACTACACTAGAGACCGAGGACTGAATTACAAGCTTTTCAGAGCTCTCAGAACAGTCTCCTCTCCTGATCTGGGCA